GATTACGGAAGCTGGAATCCCTAACCTCTCCGACCATGTTGTGTCCTGTCACACAATGATCATGATTACAAGTGCTCCAAGTTGCTGCGGTGGTCACACCATGTCGTATTGAACTGAGGTTGCTGCTATTCATATCAGCTGCCTGTATGAAATTCACCCTGAAGTCAGGGCTCGAGGTGGCAAGCAAAAGGTCAAGGACCGGTTTTCGCATGCAGTATCGACTCACATAGCAGAACATTCATTGTAGGACATAGCATACCCGCATACACATACATACCAGGATTGGGCACGGGACCAAGCAGCCCGGCTTCGGCTGCTTTTGTCGGCCCTCTCACGGATTACGAGGCGGACACTGGCAGCGAAGCCCCTCATCGCGATCACTTAAGAACTGCCCAGTTTGTGGGTTTGAGAAGTTCGATAAAACCAATAAGTATCTATTCAAAGCTGTTGCAAACTAAGGAACCCCCGAACGGCTGTGCTGAAACGGCTTTTCGCCATCAAGATGGGATGGGTATCGGCCGGGGAGGGCGAGGAGCATGAGCTTATGGCGGCGAGCCCTGCTGCCGATGGCGATGCCAAGAGTGAGGATGATGTTCTTGATGATGAGGAATCGAAGGGGTACGTTGATCTTATAAACCTATAGCTCTCGTATTAGCATTGCGACCGTCATATGATCATCATTCGGCGCTTTTTTTCCGTAGCTGTGCTGAGCATGTTCATCCCAGCAGGAGAAAGCTGCCCCCGACGGTGAGGCTCCTGCAGCTATGGTTGGCACGGGTAGCAAGGAGTCGCTGGCACCCGTTGGGCCCCGCTGCCTCATGAAGGATCGAGATTATTTTAGAAACTCGGGTCGGGTGCTAGTGTGAAGATGCTGCTGTAAATGCACGACTGAAGGACCTCGACTGGGCTGCGCTGAACGAGCTGAACGATACCTTGGCCGATGCCTACTCGAAAGAGGTGCTCGGTCTGCAAGCTTTGCTACAAGGTCAATCTTAATTCCCTGTATATCCGAGCGACATGTTCGTTGATATATCTAAGGCTCCGGATTCAAAGTCAGCACCGTCGCCCGAGCCAGACTTGGATGAGTTGATTGCTGCATGTGCTGCTTCACCTATCCGGGTTGCTCGTCTCTAACGATATATATATCTGTTCGAGACTTGCAATCCTGATAGTACATCATACTGACTATCAGAAGCCAAGGTGGATGATGCCGATGATGATTGTCTGTCGCCGGAGGAGCTGCAACTTCTAGCCACGTGCATGGATGAGACGGCCGAGCTTAAAACCCCGCCGGACACCAAACCCGTGGAGCCATCCAAGTCCTCTGGTGCACACCCCGGCTTGAGGAAACCGAGAAGCTTTTTCAGTCGCGAGCCCATGGAGCCCTCCTCGAAGCCCTCTGAAGAGCCCGAGTTGAAGAAGCAGAAAACCTTTGACTCCTCCCAGTCCGCTGAAGAGCCCAAGTTGAACCGCAAGAAAACCGTTGACTCCTCCAAGTCCGCTGAAGAGCCCCAGTTGAACCGCAAGAAAACCGCTGACTCCTCCAAGTCCGCTGAAGAGCCCCAGTTGAACCGCAAGAAAACCGCTGACTCCTCCAAGTCCGCTGAAGAGCCCCGGATGAAGAAGCAGAGAACCACCGACAGCATGCCCGTGGAGCCCTCCAAGTCCTCCGGCCGTGACAAGCCCGACCAAAAGAAGCAGTCGAAGGCTGCTGGCGGTTTCAAGGCCTCAAGGCTGCAAAGATTTAGCTAGGTTTGATCCAGGTATGCGAGGCACCGTTTCGCGACCACAGTATTAACAGCCTAGGACAGATCTGGCCCGCTGGTTCCGAATGAGCCATTAGGGGCTGATGTGGCGGCATTGCTCGCTGAAGAGGTGGCTCCCAGTTCAGTCGGGGCTGTCAGGGATCAACAACGACAGTTGCAAGCCGATCGGCGGAAGGCTGCCCAGGACTGCATCCCATGCATGGTAGCATCGCTAGTCAGTAGATATGTGCAAGGTACACGATATTTTGCGATTGGATTGAGGAGAAAGCTGCGGCCAAGGCAAAGGCCAAAGCATCGTGCAGGGCACCGGCTCCGGCACCAGATGCAGACGAGGAGCCAGAGGCGAAGCAGCCAACCTTGCTTGCCTTTGCACATCCACTGCCTCGCCATCCACAACATGTGCAGGTGCACTGCCTCGACGACGTCGGCGCCGAGCAACTGGCTTCTCATACGCTTCATACGAATCCTGACACTCTTGTGACATTACCGTGTTTCCCATTTCTTCCACGGTTACCATCTTTCCACGGAACTCGATCCTCTCTGGTTCCTTCTGAATCGGCTCCTGAGTTTCCGGTGAGACGACTCCTTCCAAGGCTTCCATTCCACGAACGTAGTTTTCATCGCTTATCTCCGAATCCTTCCGAGTCACTCCTGAAATGATTCTGCTTCCACGCAGGTATTCTTCCTCACTTATGATGGGCATACGGGTCCCGTCCGTATGTACAATTGCTGGCGTTCCCATCGCTGCTCTTCCACGTCTCTTCAGGGTTCCTTTCCCTGTGCTACTTTTCTGAACTCCTGCATTCCATTCATTCATTGTCTCTTTCGATCCACGAGGTTCATCCGAACTCTTTCCAGTAGCTTCTTCTGCTTTCATACGGTCGTAACTCTTCCGTTATTGGGCAGTCGCATATTCATTGATACACGGTGTACAGGCGCATTTCTGGTGATTCTCCTTCTCCCTTGTACACTTCCTGATTCCGCACCAGTAGCATAGCTTCGTGCATCCTCCGGTAGACTCCACTTCATACTCAAGGTCCATTACCTCCCAGTCGCTTTCGTCTGGGATTGGTGGCTCCACACGTCCACGGCATTTTCGCATGCTACCTTCCGGCTTCGTCTCCGGGAAGCAAACCCAACAGTGTCTGTAGCCCTCCGCTACAGCTTCACTTTCTTCTTTCCAGATCCATTTGCCAGAACGCATATGGCTTCCTTGAATGTGCCAACATGTTCCCTTGTGAAACACACGGGCCTTTGACCCTGTCGATATTTTCACCATACCGACTCCTTTGATCTGGTTCACCGTGCGCATACACTTCTTCCACATACTGATGGCGTACGGGGCTGCGAGTAGCATTACGCATACGATCATACAGACCTCGAACTTCGTGAATCCATCCATGGCGTCCATACCTTTTCCAAAGGCTTCACTGGCTTCTGCTCGGGCGTCCGCTACGTCCTCCTTGAGCATTGCTGCGGTAATCGGCTTCATCAGATGAAATACCTGTATTGCCCTGATGAGGTTCTTGATTTGTCCACTTCCGACATACTCCTTCAACCTCTTTTCCTGTTTACGCTTTTCATACTCTTTCTCTCCAGTGTACTCCAGGTTTCCTTCTTCATCATACTCTACTTGGGACAAGTGATACAGTAGGAATGACCTTCGGGCATACGACAACTTCTTGGTGTTCAGATCCGCTACATTGAGCGCGGTTCTTACCGTTCCAAGCTTCACAAGATTGTCTCGTACCCAATCTTGCAGTTGACACAGCCTAACGTCCACATGCTTCAAACGTCCAACTCCTCTTCGTTGGCTCCACTGTCGTGCAGATGATGAATCGCACCGTATCTCCACGCGCACAGGCGCGTTTACTAGGAACTCAAATAGCCTTCCGACTAGGATAGCTTCTCCGCAAGTTCCACTTAGTGCATACAACTCTGCTTCACAGCTTGATGATGATGTGGCTTTCTGGGTCCTCGAAAATGACAACACTTGTACTCCATTTAGTACAATGATTCCTGATGATGTACTTTTCCTTCGGGCTCTGTCCGGTGTTTTCAGGCTTGCCCAATCACTGTCCGAATACGCTTCCACGACACGTCCTGAATCCTTGGCAATTTCTTCGGGATTAGCTACCAACTCCACGATGCGTTCGTTAGCCCATTCCTCCACGCCCGTCCTCGGGGAAATTTGCGCTAAGGACACTTTATATTTTGCGCTTTGGGAAGAGTAACGCTCTTTTTTGCGCTTTCGGGACTGTTGTCTTTGCACAAGACGAAACAATAAGGTTGTTTCATGAAACCTGAAGGGTTACAACATGTATCGCTTGTGTATGCACCATTCGGGAGCGGAAAAGTCCCGATGCAATCATTCATAGTTGTGTGTCCGCTACCATATCCGTCACTTCTGCACCCGATGCATCGCTGTTCTACAAGAAATCTATGCTGACCCAGGTGTAAATTATTGGGCAGCCTCGCAGGAGGGTTCGATGCTTGAGCAAAAACAAGTTTTCCGTAAAAAAACAAAGCGCAACACACTTATATGTTTCATGATATATTAATAAGTTCGTGCACAAACAAGAGGTTGGCGACTGCATGGTTTCTGTTGTACTGTATACTATTATAAGGAAACTTTGTATATATATATATATATATATCGTGGAATAAAAACCCCCGAGAGAAGAAAGCCCCGGCAGCGCAGGATGCGGCCAGGCCGCCCCCCGGCCAGACAGGCAGAAAGGAAGGAACCCCGGCAACACAGGGCACGGCTACGCCGCTCCCCGGCTCAGGCGGGCGAAAGATGCGAAAGAAGGAACCCCGGCAACACAGGGCACGGCTACGCCGCTCCCCGGCTCAGGCGGGCGAAAGATGAGAGTTGAAAGTTTCGGCGCTCACACTCCGCACTCGGACAGTCCAGGCAGGCATTTGGTTCGGAGTTGAGAGTTTAGGGTTTAAAGGTTTAGGAGTTAATTTAGGGGTGCCTGCAATCGAAAGGGGGCTCTTGCAAAAAAGGGGTTTCGACATGCACACTCGCTCACGCAGGCACGGCTTCGAGGTCCCACTAAGGTTTAGGGGTTTTGGGTTTTGCACACTGAGGGTTTTCAGGGTTTGCAAAGGTGTCTTACAGTTGGTCGAGGCTCTTCGGTTCTGAGTTTCTGGAGGATTGGCGGTTTTAGGTTTAGGGCTTAGGTTTCAGGGCAGCGCACGAAAGAGACTCAAGCCGCAATCTTTTTTCTAGTTGCTCCCTGCAAGCTTCGCGTTGTAATGCAGCTGCCATCGCTGCAACACACGCAGGGAGATCGAAGACGAATGTACGGAGCCCTTCACAATCTTTGTGATCTGCCCCACATAGTCTTCTTCTGTCCAACACGAGCCCCATCTTGGATTTAATCTTGAAGTGAGCATCCGCAAGACCAGCTCGCAATGAAATTGATGCGTCTTGGGACGCATCTTGTAGCGTGGCCTTCCCTCGAATAGCGCTTGCTGAGCAAGGGCCGCATATGTCTCCACATAGATTCGGCCCGCCCTTAGCGCGCACTGGGTCTCGAACGTAACTGAATCTCGATAGTTTAGTCTTTGAAATACGAATCCCTGCACAGGAAATCCCAAAATTGTAGCTGAATGTCTAGTTTCGTCTTTGAAACACGAATCCCTGCACAGGAAATCCCAAATCTGTAGCCGAGAATCTCGACGAGAGAGGTCGCCTCGCTGTCGCTCAGCCACATAGAAGCTCGATCAAGAATGCCATTGTAACGAGTTACAGCCCACGCGCAAACAGCTTGCGCACGCAGTTGAGGCAGATCGAGATCCTCGAAGCCCAGGGTCTTGGGGTTTGGGGCTTTAGGTTTTGCAGGGATGGTGCGGGTACGGGCTTTAAGGCCACAAAAACTTCAGGCCCCAAACCCAGAAAAAAACCTGAAACCATACAGATCGAAGAAATTAGGATGCGACATAAATGTTTCGCGAGGAGCTCGTAAGCGCTCTGCCAGGTACGAGAGCCTTATTGGCCAGGGTTGAGATATATTAATTAGGTTCTAAACCCGAATTCGCCAACGACATACACAGACATGTAAAAATGCAGTCATGGGAAAGCCGAGATGCATCACGCGGTTTGCATAGGCTTTTCCAAAGCCCAGTGGAAAATCGAGACTTACGGCATCCACGGACAATTTCAAGAGACCTCGGCTACAAATAGAGGAACCTTTCAGACTAGAACAAGCAACTATCTACACTGTTAATGCAGACCGGATACTGATGCTTTCGATGGTGGAGGGTCGTATTCCGTGCTCCACGCACCAGCGCTGCACATCTGCAGTCAAGGCTTCGAGCCGTTCGTCCCACGTCGTCAGGTGATGTAGCGCCGGCCAGTGTTGCACGAGATCCATGATAATGGATGCAACGGCATCCCGGGCCGTCCCCAGCCAGAGCGCGTGCAAAAGGTCCGCGCATTCGGACAACGGACTGAACCCGCGGACCTTCAGAAGCCTGTGCTGCCAACATCCGAAAGCGATCTCGTTACCACCGGAGGTTTTAATAAAACCCAAAAGAAAGTTTCTCAAACTTTCTGGCTAAGGGGCCAAATGTTCCCGACACCTGCGAATCGAACTCTTGAGTAATCAGCAACTTAGAGAAGGCTTGGTCGGAGTCGTTCTTTTAGATCGAAGCTACAGCTACAGACCTTAATGAAGACCCAGTCCAAGTCCAAGAGGCGTGTCAGAGCCGCCGCCGCGAGATCGGCTTGATTGTTGAAGCGCTCCCTGCAGGGATCCAGCCACGGCTTCTGAGCATTCGGTAGGGCAGAGGCCAGGCACCTTGGGCATATCAAGTCGGCGTTGTTGTAGTGCCGCTGCATACACAACCATTCGCGACGGAACTTCCAGTCGCCCTTATGCACGACCAAGTGCATAGACCAGCCCTGTGTAGAAGCATCCCCCGGCAAATTGCATTTGTTCAAGCTCATCGCTAGGGTTTCCTGCAGCTTCTCCAAAGTAAGGTTCCTCCCGTCTTTGTAGGCGAACAGGTCCGATTTTATGACCTGCGCAAATGAAAACACAGCCTGGGCAGCACTTGGAGCCATATTAAAGGCACCATCCGAGAATGTAGATTGCAAGTGATTGCAAATTCAACCGAGGTGCGCAAAACGGATACTTCGACATCATTGCCGCATCGTGAACAGAAAGCGGCGAGAAGCTCAGAACCATTACGCTCTTCGAACGTTTCCCAGTCCCCTCATCACCATGGAGGCTGATGGCGATCGCCTTTCGTTGATCTTCTTCAGGCCAGGACTGTACCGGATGGGCCCTGGGATGACAATAAAATGATTCGTGTATATTCCATATTTACGCTACACGGCATGGCACCAAGAAGAAGAAAACTAAAACTACATGAAACTTGTTGCACACAAGGTGCACCCCCCACTCCTCGGAGCGGGCCTGGCGCCAGAATTGACACCAATCGAGATCACCACTCCTTAGCTTGCCAAAAAAAATATGCAGCATTCAAAACCTGTATCAGTTACGACTCTGAGTGCGTCGAGCGTCAAGCGGTTCACCATGCCGGCGCGCACCATGGATTGAAGCATCTGGTGCGGCAGAAACACTGGCCAGTTCCGGCGCACAGGAGGGGTCTCTTTGACAAGTCGAGATTTCTTTTTGGGCGCAGCAACTCGTGCTTTGGCTTTCGCCTTCCCAACAGCCTGGCGAGCACGGAAGCTCCTAGAGCGGCGCACTTGCCCCATCAATCTCTTGTCTGTCTTCAGGTCCCTCAGCAGCAAAGGCGCCCCGGCGACGGGACACTGCAGCAGAACCTCGGCTTGAAGGGATGATACGGCCTATACTTGTGTAAACCTGTCATTGCGACCAATACCCGACAAACTTATACCACGCCAGCATTGTAACACAGATGAGCTACGTCCCGGCTCCTTTCCATCGCCCTGTGCAGCCTCTGTTCGATGTGTTGGGGTCTGGAACCAGAGGCTCCCAATGTTGCAGCCCATGCTGTGCCTCAGTTGCAACAATCATTTGCCTGGGTGGTCGAATTTGTCCAGCAATCTGCATCATACAGGGGTGTGTCACATCTACATGCAGACGAAGTGCTGTCTGATACATTGGATTGGCCTGCTTCTGCCACAGCTGCATGAGAAACGCTCTGCACAATGGCAGCTGGCTGCCCCTGTCCCACTCGCAAGGCCAACTCACGAATGAGAGGTGATCTCTTCAAAGAAAATCTCGAACTCGCAGGTCGAGAGGCTGATGCCGAATCACTACTCTGGGCCAAGCGATTTTGAAACCGCTTGATGCGCTGTAACATGTGTCATGCAAGGCAACACGGAAAAGCTCTGCATGGCAAGGTCCTTGGCACTACATCCTGGAGAGTTTCAGTGGTGAGCGGGATTGCTTCTTGTAGCACACAGAGCATTGAACAGGAGGAGTCTAAGCGCAGTTGGGGATCTAAGGTTGGCTGGGTTTCGAGCATACCAAGAACGTAAATCTCAAGGGGCGCAGAAACTCCTGTAGGTTCGAGGCTTGAGGTTTACGGCTTCAGGGTCACGGTATCCTAGGTTTGGGGCTTGCAAGTTGCAGCTGGGTTTTGTTCTTGATCTGTACGACAAAAGCTTCGCAAGCAAGGAGGATCGTGTGCAATGCGAGTGCATGCTAGTGACGCAAGTTCACTGGAGCATCAGCACACTAGCACGTGGTTTTGTGGGCAGTCTGTCTTTGTCGGCAGGATTCCCCTTGAAATCGCCTTGAAGAGGTGGCGAAAATCGACATCCGGATACTCTCGCTGGCACCCACGAACGACTTGAAGAACTAAGTGGATGATCTAAGCAGGAGTTTCCAAGCCCGGGCGCAAAGGTGCACATCCTCGCCTTTCACTAGACTCCGGCCTAGACTCGTGCATACTTGGAGGCCCTTTTGACTGAGTAAAGTAGAGTCAGTAATAGGTCGGTTATGGGGTTTCTAATAGGGTTTCTACATGGGGATACTTATAAGTAGACTTACTCAGTCAAAAAAGCCTCCAAGCTTCTATTTTGCCCTTAGCAACCCCCTACCTTACAAGCCCTGAAACCTCTAAACCCTGATATCTCTTGGACATGTGTATGTGCACCAATAGCACCGGCCCGCGAGGTTGCTCGAGCTCCAAAGCTCAGGACTGCAGCTGCTCCGAAGACTTGCCCTTGCGCTTCGGCTGCGACTCGCGGCGTTCTGCCTGGATCCTTGGCGCAGGGATAGCAGGCCAGGAAAGAGAGCGACAGAGAGAGACAGAGAGAGAGAGAGAGAGAGAGAGAGAGAGAGAGAGAGAGAGAGAGAGAGAGAGAGAGAGAGAGAGAGAGAGAGAGAGTGACGGAGTGAGAGAGTGAGAAAGTGACCGAGTGAGAGTGGGAACTATATAGTCATTCAGAACGCGCAGACAAATACTAAGACTAAATTATTGTGGCTCGTGCAGTCAGAACTCAAGCTCTGCGCGGTCTTCTGGTGCTTCTTCCAGGCTTCCACGAACGGGGTAACCTCGCGATTTCATTTGATGCTTTAAAAATTCACAGGAAACACATACGTGAGCATCCGGAGCCTTCAAAAGCCAAGCGGCTTGCAGCAGAATCGATTGCACATCAGAGGCCTGTGGCGCAGTCCCCAGTTGCTGCAATTTCTTGCGTCCATCGGTGATGCCCGAAACAGCCGCATTGATGAAATTGATCAGCTGCTCCTGGCTCTCCAGAGGCTCCAACCTGAGTCTGAAGCGTTCACATATGGCAGTCGGTTTCAGTCAATGGCAGACAGGGAACTCTGCGGTCAGTCGGACCGCCAGCCCCGATGCCGTCGTTGCCGCACCGATCCAGGATTTCACAAAGGAGTTGCAGCCCTCTTGCGAGGCCTCCATAATGTGCACCTCCATGTCGCTGCCCTCGGTCGTAAATGGTTGGAACACAAACAAAGAAGCCTGCAGTCACTCAGCAGAGTCTCCTATGTACTGCTGCCTAGCCGCAGGGGGTTTCGGCGCTCGTGCCTTTTTCTTGGGCTGGGCGGTTTCCTCTCCGTCTGCTTCCGTTTTAACGCCCGGCTGTGCGGCCTTGCCCTTATTGTTTTTCGGGGCAGGGACAGGCTGGGCTGTGTCCGGAGTTCCGAGTGCAGCTGCAGACTGCTGCTTCCCGAAAGGGTTGTGGCTGATCATGGTCGCGACACTGGCTGCGTAAGCGGGGTCCAGGCCCATGGTGATGGCGATTTCGTCCTCGGATGAATTGGAAAGATTATAAAGACCACATGCAACATCACCACACATTCAACATGCAGCAGGTTCACCCATCACGAGGCCGAGTCTCCAAAGTTCTGGTAGTGACACTCCGGGCCTGGGGATCCCACCACAGGAATGTTTCCACATCAGGATCGTTGCGGTCGCTCGACGTCCTGCGCAGCCACGCACGTGTACAGTATGGATGTGTGCACGTGCATACATGTGTGCATCTGAGTCCATGCCGGCCGGGTCCCGCGGGGCTCAGCCCTCCGTCGAAGGACGAAGGCGTTGGCCGAGTCAACGTTGTTGTTGTGGAGCTCCAAGATTTTCCACCATGGATAATATTTTCCTTGCAAGTCTGCGATGAGTATGTGTGATGTGTTTGCACACACACACACACACATGTAAACACAGATGCTTCCACGCACGCATGCAAGGGCACACCAAGACACACAACATCACCCAAATAATTAGCTTAGACCATATATGCATTCTCGTGGCCCGCGTCTTTGTCTTCCTCTTCCTTTTGCCTGCTGAACCGCATAACGGCCTCCATGGCCATGCCATCACCTGCAGCAGATGGTATTAAATTTTGCAACCGAACACACTGTGAGGGCTGCAAATGCAGGCTGAAACGATCTCCACTGCACAATGCATACCGAACCCTCTTCAAGCTACCAGCGTGAACCCAAGACCCTCAACCTATACTCGGACATATCTCAGCCAAAGAACAGCCGGCTTTCACGAACTGAGCAAACACGGACGTGCGACGATCTCCACCGCTCCTTACATTGCAAACTGCACACTGCAAGGATGATGTATAGTGCACAGGAATGTGTGGAATGCTGTTGCTGCCAGCACTGAGACCAAGACTGCCAGGCAGTCCGCAGTTCGCCGGCCCACTCGTTCCTCTCACAGAAACGTCGATAGGCTGCCCATTCAGTGGGATGTGTGCTGCTGTTGTAGACACCATCCCGCGGCATCTGTGGTGATGGCGGCTGCAGGGCTACTTGCATGCATGGAGCCTTCGGCGGAGGGCCACAGCTGGGTGCTGCTTTGGCAGGTGCTGCGGGAGGTGGTGGCATCATGGGATTCGGTGGGGCAGGGATTGGCATCGGAGCATTTGCTGGCGGCAGAGGCAGCTGTTGGGCACCGGGCTCAGAAACCATCGTCGCAGGGCTTGCAGCCTGAGTTGCAGCTGCAGGTGCGGTTGCTGGCGGCAGTGCCAGCTGCAGCTGGGCACTGGGATCGGTTGCTGTCGGTGTTGACAGCTCGCCATCGCGCGGAAAAAAATGGGTGGCAGGAGTTGGAGCCGGAGGCACCGTTGCAGGTGCGCTTGCTGGCGGCAGTGCCAGCTGCAGATGGGCACTGGGATCAGTGACCCGGTGTTGATTCAAGGCAGGATGGTCCGGCTGCAGTTTCTGCAGTTTCTGAGTCATCAGCTGCAACATGAGAGCCAATTGCTCTGCATTTGCCGCGGGCTGCTGAGAAGCAGAAACATCATTGGTATCCACATCCATGTCTGCAAGACCATTGCCCCGGCCGTCTTCCATGTGTGTATCACCGTCAGGCAGTGTCGCTTCTTCGAAGCTGTCTGCCAGAGTGGCAAGAGAATCTGGCATCACCGTGTTGTCGCGCTTGTCAGGGCTTTCAGCAAGGTTGTCTGCTGGGGCTGGGGCCGCCTCTTGGGAAGCGATCGTGGCCCGGTCAGGTTGCTTTATCTCTGATTGCACCAGCACTGCCTGAAGAGGGGTGCCGCAGGAAAAGCATTGATTACCACCTAATTCAATCTGCTCCTCGTTGTAGAAGATGCTGCAACGAGCACACAGCCCGAGACGTGTCTCTCTGGCTGCAGGGCTTGCAACTAGAGACGCGGCCGCCTCTTGCGTCGAAGCTTCAGTGGGTACTGGCACAGGAGACCCTGCCGAAACCAAGCCTGGTGCCGTCGCTGCTACCTCTGGTTTCCGTGCTGTGGCCTTTGCTGCTGTCGGCATCGAAGATTGGAGTGTCATCGCTGGGGCTGTTGCCGGGGACGACGCTGCAGGAACCGCTGTTGCCGGTGACGTCGCTTGAAGAACCGCTGGAGCCAGAACTGTTGCTGTAACGGCTGGGGCTGTTGCCGGCAAGGTCGCTGTTGGAACCGCTGGAGCCGGAACTGTGGCTGCAAGGGCTGCAGGGGCTGCTGCCGGGAAGGTCGCTGTTAGAACCGCTGGAGCCGGAACTGTTGCTGCAAGGGCTGCAGGGGCTGCTGCCGGGAAGGTCGCTGTTGGTACCGCTGGAGCCGGGGCTGTTGTTGCAACGGCTGGGGCTGTTGCCGGGAAGGTCGCTGCAGGAACCGCCGGAGCCGGAACTGTTGTTGCAACGGCTGGGGCTGTTGCTGGAAAGGTCGCCGTTGGAACCGCTGGAGCCGGAACTGCTGTTGCAACGGCTGGGGCTGTTGCCGGGAAGGTCGCCGTTGGAACCGCTGGAGCCGGAACTGCTGTTGCAACGGCTGGGGCTGTTGCCGGGAAGGTCGCTTCGGGAACCGCTGGAGCCAGAGTTGTTGCTGTAACGGCTGCCCCGGCTGTTGCCGGCAAGATCGCTGTTGGAACCGCTGGAGCCGGAACTGTTGCTGCAAGGGCTGCAGGGGCTGCTGCCGGGAAGGTCGCTGTTGGCGGGGCTGTTGTTGCAACGGCTGGGGCTGTTGCCGGGAAGGTCGCTGTTGGAACCGCTGGAGCCGGGGCTGTTGTTGCAACGGCTGGGGCTGTTGCCGGGAAGGTCGCTGCAGGAACAGCTGGAGCCGGAACTGTTGTTGCAACGGCTGTCGGGGCTGTTGCCGGGGGCGTCGCTGTAGAAACCCTTGGAGCCGGGGCTGTTGCTGCAACTGTTGTGGCAGCTGCCGGGGAAGGCTGGTTGTCAACCGGGACAAGACCCGGTGCTGCAGCTGGGGGCCTCTCAAAAGGGACTGCAGTCCCAGCCAAAGCCGTGCTTGCTGCCGGGTTAGGAGCCGTAACTGTTGCTGCTGCAGCAGGTGAAGCCAGTGCTGCTGCTGGTGCTGGAGCAGGCGGCAGTGTCCCCGCCCAAAGTGGTGCTGCTGCTAGGCGCGGTGGCGGGAGCAGGACGAGTCCTGCCACCGCCGCGGGTGGAGCCTGAGCCGTCCAGGGCACCTGAAGCTGGGCTGTTGTTGCTGGCGGAACCGGTACTGCCCCTGCCAAAGCTGCAGCCGGCGCTGCAGAACTGGGCGCGGAAAGCAACTTCGGAGCAACAGCAGCAGCGGTGCCTGCAGGAAGAGGTGCTGCAGGAGCTTGGTTCGCCACTTGCAGCGAGGTTGGCAAGGGCGGCAAGGGCCCCGGTTCTTCCGACTCCTCAGGAAACACCAGAGCGCCCGGTCTGCGTAGCACAGGAGGGGCAGGCACGTTGTCAGCGTTGCCAGCCGCAGTAGTGGAGGGCTCCAAACACTCGCTGCTCTTGTAGCGCTGCCAGAAGCTGACATACTTCTTCTGCTCTTCCTCCGACAGCTGAGGGATCACAAAATCCTCCTCCTGCACAGGTCGTGGGCCACATAAACAATGCATGCACTGTTATGAATGGAACGGAAACATGCACATGCACGCACACACACACACACACACACCACACACACACACACACAGTCAATCCACGCCCTGCTCGTCTCTACATATAATAGGAGGTGCACGCAGACACAAAGCACCCATGTCGAGGATCGGGCCTTGAACTTCACAGTCTTCGGAGCGGCTGTCGGCTTCCGGGCAGGAGTCTTCTTGTTCGCCTGCTCCACGGCGGCAGAGGCGTCACGCGGCACCAAAGTCTGACAGGGCAGGCTGGGATTTGAAGGTTTCGGGTGGGTCCATGCTGGATAGTTTCTATGAACCCCCCGACCCTCAGCACTGCACTTGCACCGGTCGTGTTGCTCTCAGCGAAGGACGCAGCGTGAGTGATTGTCGAAGGGTGTCGAGCAATCGAGTCGAAGTCGCCCGAGAGACTCTTCTTCACACCGTCGCCCTCCGTTTCACGCGAGCCTGGCGTGCCTGGAGAGGCCGTCGAGGACGGAGCCGCGGAACTCTGCTCAACCGACGCTGGCGGAGGCGAGGGTGTTGCAGGGGTCGCTGAAGAGCTTGGCGGTGCAGTAGGGCTCGTGGAAGTCTGCAAAGAACTCCTGAATTTCAGGCCGGCTGGATTCGTTTGCAGGGGATATTCTTGGGAGGTAGGGGGGACGGCGAAACATGGTGGTGATGCACTGATTCAAGTGGGCGGCAGGCGCTGCTGCACTTGCTGCTGCTGCTCACTCGTGAGGCCAAGCGCGGCCAAGCACATCGCCGAATCTATCTCCATCGCGAGTGCCTAGGAGCACGCTCTTCCCCCTTCCAGAACTAAATAGCCTATATAGAACCCAGCCATTCAATACCTCGTCTCAGTCTAGCAGCACCCGCGTTGTCAGGGACTTGCGGCTTCTCGGGCTTCTTCTTCTCGGCTTTCTTACCCATGGCACACAACCTATGCGCCTCTGCCCAACAGCAAAAGCTTTGAATCCGAAATGCAACCTGCATGGATGCACAGTTTGCCCCATGAAGCGCTTTGCCGTTGTGTGTTGCAGCACAAGACAAGTGATGTACGCATTTGATTTGTACCCATGCACGGCAGTATCATACAAGGCAATTCATACAAGCACCGCGGTGTTAGTTCTCTTTAAGGTGTTTGTTTAGAAACTCCGAAAGCACAGTTTTCCCCGACCGCAGTATGTGTTGCACGACAACATGGCCCTGTTCGTCATCGTAAGTACATGAAACACTAGCAGGCAGCACAGGTCAGCAGAGTGATCCAGCATTTTGTAATAATATCGCAGGTCCGAAAGCACAGTTTTCCCCGGACGCAGTATGTGTTGCACGACAACATAGCGCTGTTCGTCATCTTAAGTACATGAAACACTAGCAGGCAGCACAGGTCAGCAGAGTGATCCAGCATTTTGTAATAATATCGCAGGTCCGAAAGCACAGTTTTCCCCACGCACGGTATGTGTTGCACCACAACATAGTGTAGTTCATCATCTTAAGTACATGAAACACTAGCAGGCAGCGCACGTCAGCAGAGTGTTCCAGATTGTTTTAAAAATCGCAGATCCGAAAGCACAGTTTTCCCGGGCACGGTATGTGTTGCACCACGACATAGTGTAGTTCATCGTCTTAAGTACACGAAACACTAGCAGGCAGCACACGTCATCAGAGTGATACCGCACTTTTTTAATAATATCACGGATCCGAAAGCACAGTTTTCCCGGCTCACGGTATGTGTTGCAACACAACATGCACCGTTCCAAGAAATCACGTGCCCAAACATAGCAGCAAACGTATGCATACGAAGCAATTTTTTTTTCAAAAAAAAAATCAGAAAAAGTCAGAAAAAAAATCAGAAATTAACATAAAAATCAATGTTCCACACGAAAGCACAGTTTGCCCCCAAAGCACAGTTTGCCCCATAGCATTTACGCATTTTTACGCATTTTTACGCTTTTTTGTTGGGGTGTGGTTTCCATTAAAATTCGTGTCATGGTTGTTTGTTTTGTGTTTTTGTTGTTCACGGTTGTTGTTTTTTATGTTTTGTTCACCTTTGTTCACGTTTGGTTGATACGATGTTGGGTAATTAAGATTCTGGTCCGTGTCCTGTGCGTGCATTGTGTTATTTTGCGCAGTTGTTTGCGGTTAGAGCAAGTGCTGCTACACAAGCATCCATGTTCGGATCGGCTTCAGTCGGGATTCGGCACAGCACAAGGGCAGCGGAAGCGCCATCGGTACATGTCGGTACTTTACATTGCACATGGAGCATGCAACAGCAACCTCATCGGCCTGGACTGAGATCCTTTCTCCGTGCAGGCTTTCCCCAGCCTGTGTTAAAGGCCCCCACACTCCTGGATGTCCTCCCGACCTACGGAAAATCCGCAGGCCATGCCGACGGCAGCTGCAAACGCCCGGAAGCTTTCATCCACCGCACGACGTGGAGCAGCTCAGCCTCGGATATGTCCACACCACAGAGCTGAGCTTGTTATCGGGCTGGGCTAGTATAGAGCTAGGAGCCTGTTCCATCCAATCAATCGGAGCTGACATCAGCAGGGCAATGTTGGCTCGCTCGTCATAATCAGCTTCTCCGTTCTCGAACATGTTAGGCAGCACGTCGTGGTTCAACGCGCGACAAGCATGGCATTCCTTCCAGGGATGCAGTAGTTGCAGCACATGCAGAAAAAAAAAAACCGAAACCCAAAGTCCGAAACATCACTGCTATAACCCCTCAAAGTAAAATTGAAGCTTCAAGGAACCGGCTGTGGGCCTAGCTTTGGAAACGGAACACTTCGGGACTGGGGCATCTAGGGGCTTCAGATGGTTTCAGGGCTGCCGGGTGGAGAAGTTTCTTATTGCTTTCTAAGACGTTAAAGCTTCTACGGTTTAAGTTGCATTCAGGGCTTTACGGCACAGGTTTATCGATGACCATTGCCTGTCCCCTGATCCCGTCCATATTACCCTAGCTCCTCAATAGGCCTAAACCTCACGGCAACGACGTCATTATGCACCCCTCACAAAAGTTCTTAAAGCACAAACTCCACAGCCCATCAACCTTCAACCGGAACCCCGAGGCTTCCAGGGACTCAGAAGGGTCAGATTCTTTCGATCGAAAGCAAGGCACGAAAGGGCTTGTGGCACAGCTGTCGCTTTTCGAGGCATATATAGTTGAAGGCCTAAGAGTTTCAGAGTTTGGGTTTGGGGGTTGGGTGTTAAGGGTTATAGTCAGCTGCACAAGTAGCGTGGCAGGTGACACTCCTAGAGATGCAGCACTAGCTATGCTGCAATTCAGTACCGTCCTAGTGAACTATTGCATGACCCTGTTCAGATGATTTGTATCTACCCTGCCAACACTGCATACATATCTAAGTAGGAGCAGGACTAGTCTATAACATGCTTTAAATGCGGGAGAATCAGACGCAATCGCCTGGCGCTGCTGATCGTCGCAGCGCTCGCCCCACGAGTGGAGCACGGCTTCCGCAAACTCCGGGGTGTATTCCCTGCAAGGGAGAACTCCACACTCGAAGCAGACGCATATGTATATGCCGCGCATGTAAGTGGACAATGCTGGTCTTGCGAAAATACTGGTGTCTTGCAGCTCTGAGCGAATCACACGTACTACAAGGCGACCCTGAAACTGCATCCCAGGGGCTGAGTGGCCCGCACCAGCGGCGGAATGCCGGTGACCGTCTTCTTTCCAGCAGCCTGGGCAGCCAGGAGGGCCGGGCGGGGATGATGATGTTCCTGGATTTAATTGAGGGATATATCGTACAGTCTCTGCGCAGACTAGTGACATCAACATTCCTCTTGACGATCGCTTTCTTCACCTTTTTCTTGGCACTGGCCTTGGACGCAGCCTTCCTGTGTTGCTCTTGCCAAAGCTGGCAACGTCTCGCAACATCCTGTGGGGATGTCGAATGAAGATCGATACAGAGTCTGGGGTCACAGGATCTAGCGTCATGGCACTTGTAGCATAGAGTTGCATGACAGTCCTGGAAGCACAAATGGTTCGAAAAGAGCCAGCTCGGTTTACGGGTGTCAGCTCCGAAGGCAGCCATGACGAGGCTGAACCTGTAAACCTCAGCTGTATTAACGAATTAAAGAGCATTTGAGTACGCCTCACGTGTATGTAGAGAGACGTAATGGTCGTTCTATTGAATTTGGCAACCGGCATGTAAGCGTACATCTCCTGGAAGATCCGGAGAGAAGCTAAGCCGCCAGTCGTGTGGTGTTGTGGTTGTTCCAGCAGGAAAGTAACACCCATGGCACGGGCCAGGTACATGAACAGTACACTCCTGCAAGCTTTTCACCGACTTCTGCAACACTTCAAAAGACATTCCCAAGAAGTGCAAACAAACGAACCCCGTCCGACTGGCCAATAAGTTGCCCATGCGGACTGAAGGAGATTGATGAAGGCCTTCTGGAAGCATGACGCAGCGACCGGTGACGGAGCTGCATAAGAAGCAGAATGAGGAACCTCAGATGCAGCAATGGGGCCGGGTTTATAGTTTAGTCGTACAAATGTTTTAGGGGTTTTCGGTCTTTCTGCTTCAGTAAATGGGGTTTAGGGACAGCTGCGATTCTTGGCCGTTTTCTCCCGTTGATGGGGTTGCTTCGGGTTAAGGGACAGCTACACTTGTTGGCCGACAAGATGAATGGGTTCTCTTCTATTTGGGACCCGTGCAGAGCAGGTTTATGTATACATACATATATATACATATATATATATTACATAAAACTTAGGGGAAGCATTCAATTCTAATCTAATTGAAGCAGTAGGTCTAGACTCGACAACTCATTTGCACAATCCTAAGTTCTACTTGTGATTCCAATTAATTCTAATCACAGCACAATTTATGGCCTCATGATAGCCCGATTCTGGTGGCCTGAAAGCTTTCGACAAGGATTTCGTTTGGGGTCTTGTTTAAGAGATGCGTCCGTAAAGCGTGGAGGCTCCTAGGGAGAAAAAAACCTGAAGCATGGAGCAAAACCCAGAAACAGGCTGCGTGAAACCAAAATTCCGAAACAGTGTGCAGCAGTCCTATAGTCCTATATCTCGGATAAAAAGGAAACACTTATAAACAAAGGGAATGAAGCATCCTCGAAGCCTGCCCTCCAGCAACCCCGACAACAGCCGTCAAAGCAACACCGTTTCTAAGGTGATCGGACGCGTCGATTGGCGGAACATGCAGGCAGAATGATCGACATGTAGTAATGTATTGTGCGCGTCACGCAAAGGAATGCAACTTGAGTAGACAATATCGGACTCGGTTTGAGCGTCCCTCTATATAAGCACCCTGCATTCAGGATGAGATCAAGAGTATGTCTGCGGCCAGACATGTAGGCGCCACATGTAGCAAGCAACGCCCAAGGTTTCATCATGCGAGGTGTTATAATGGATGACCATATGTTGAGTCATTTCGTATGGACAATAAGATAATAGTTGTAGTACACAAGCAATCATCAAGCAGATCTGTTGTGGCTAGTGGTAGAGTGCCTGAACATGGAAACTGCATGTTGCAACCCGCTCGGATTCGCATCGAGTACATATCGGCATTAAGACAATGCAAGCACGCATGCTTCATTCGATCTCGATCACTCATCACATCTCAGATCGCTGCCCCATGCATGTGTGTCCGATCGGTGAAATGCTGGTCAATCTTCCACGATTCAGCCGCGTAAGTGTTGAATCCTGTCAACAAATCAATCGCATCGTCTTCTTACAGATCGCGGCACCGGGTCAGGACGAGTAAATTGGCTGCATTAGCGCAAAGTAGGTCTTGCGATATATTGTTGGGCCATCGCAGTAGCTCGATACCCACATGCCGGACAGTGCATCTTCGTTGAAGCTAATTTATTCACCCAGACAGTATGATGGAAGGATTCAGGATAATGCGAAGAGCAAAACTATACTTCTTGATGCAAGGCATCACCGCGAGTAATAGAATTGAATCCTGTACTGTAGCAACACTTCCAATCTTGCCACGCATCCCTTCCTACACAGACGCTCCAAGCTCGAGACTAGGGTATATAGGTGTTTCTCAGCAATGACCAAAGCCATGGCTGCAGGAGCTTGCTGATTTCCTGTTCCACTTATTCAAGGCCCACATTGCTGTATCTCTGCACACATACATGGATCCAAGCAACACTGCTTCCCTGTAGTTCCCAAATAAGTTGTGTAGTGGCAAACCCCACATCTGCCGACCCTGCTTCCCGAATTGAAGCCCAAATCAGTATGTCATGGCTCCCCGAATCAGTATGTGATCAGGACTCCCAATTAACAGAGACTCCACGTCTTATAGAATCTGAATGGAGATCGAAGGCCTCCTTAGGGTGTGTAAAGCTGACATTATTATCAGATCCCAATTTGCTTGAAGACCATCGCATAAGAGAGGCTCCAGGCTGCATTGATTTAGTGCACATCGGGCGGCGTCGGGCCAGTCTTTAAAGCTTCAGATCCAAGACCGCACAGCAAACCCAGCAACCTTATAAGTTGGGTACGGCCCCCATACAGTAACAGTCTACAATAGGGCTACTATTAAGGGCTTGTTATGTCTATATTATGAATATTATATCCAACTGTTACTGAGTGGGGGCCGTACCCATCTTATAAGCGAGTAACCCAAACACCCAACTCGAAATTCGTACAACCTTCTGAACCTGAATTGGAGAGAACAGGGAACAGGCAGTTCATGCCTTCGCAGCAAGAAGAACATCGGCAAGCTTTGGATTCAAGAAGCTGAAATTAAGAAGCAGACAGGAGGCACACTGGAGCAATCACGCAGAGGCCGCCAGCACGAAGCCTCCTGATATACAGGAGGGCCAACCTGGATGACAGACAGCGGATGCGAGGCAAGGCAGACACTTGATCACTTATAAGAGAACTGATTGCAGACTAGTCGTGCAGGCTGGCGTCAGAAACCCCCAGGGTTGGCAGATGTCGTTCGTGTCGGAATACGCATTGTCCACTTTGCGGGCCCTATATCCTCGTTGCTGTGCAGCTTCGTAGATCGCCTCGGGGCCGGGCGGGCTGCTGCATGCAGGAAGCACCGGATTGTTCATGCGCCGTGTGGCGCCAATACCAGCAAAGATCTCCACCACGTCGAGATCTCCAAGACTCTTGTCCTTATATATGTAGAAGGCAAATAGGTATTGCCAGGCTTATGACATGTCTCAGTTGCGCGTGTTCCCCAGTTTATGCTGCTTTGCTGCAAACAAGAAGCAAAGTCGCTCATGTAGCTCATGAGGAACAGGATTGCAATCAGAGCACGAGGTGTGCCAACATCCAGAAGCTTCTGAACAAATGGTCTCGCCGCCATGTCCGGAAAGATGGCGCTGTAGCGCCGATGTCAAAACAGAAACACAGAACTGCACGAAATGGTCTCAACCCATGAATATATGCAGCTGCCCCCAAACTTGCAGTTTTACGCCTATGCAAGCAGTTACTTCATCACACGAAACCTCACAAAGCTTCAGACTTTCTCTAAATGCAGGAGCACATGATAAGCCATGCAATGGGCCATGCATTTAACACTGGACCTGCACTCGATACGACCATCCTGAGGCACGCTTTGCAAATCTGTTTCTTCTCCCTGCAGGCTCCCTGTAGCAGGAAGAGGCATCGCAGTACGGATGTCAGGGCAAGTCACACCCTGTTGCACCAAGCACAAACTGTGTTGCATGATATGCACCATATATAGTACACCCGTAGAATATCTCCCGGCAACAGGTTCCGTGCTACATCACATCCCTGATGTCAGCACCAAGAAGCCAACATGTTGGTACCGTGGCCGATCTTCTGTGCAGGCACAAGACGCTCATCCATAACGGCGGCGTTTGCGCTCATCCTCCGGAATAGATTCCAGCATCACCCTGAGCCACTCCAACATGCAAGACAGGATTTCAAAATTGCGCACGTCACTGGAGGAACTGAAGCTAGGGGAGTTTCGCTTCAAAGCAAGGATGTGCATGTCAGTTCGCTTAAGACGCCCAAGTTAAAGGAGATATGGCCAAGATTCGCCCTGATCTGGGAATGCTTCCACAGCTTCACAGCTTCCTGAAGAACAGTGCATGGCAATCTCTGGACAATATCTGAAACAAGTGAAACGCGAGCACACAAGACGAAGCTGGCGAGAAGTCGACTCAAAGCTGTAATCTAGGACATCTAGTGCGGCAAGGACACCATGTGCTTGATGCCTTTGGCTCTCGCTTTCCTGCAGGAGTGCAGGGATCACAAAACACCCCCCCAAGACAGGATACACCGCCAAAAATGGAAGCTGAAGACAAGAGGCTCCAAGAAGGCCACGTACACAGAGAACAGCGGGCCCTTATGCGGATCGTACACCCGCTTCGGCTTTTTCTCTTCCTGGGCAGCATGCAACATGATGAGATGCCGAAACTCACAACATGGTCAACAAAGTGTCTCACACACGCGCGGGAGGCTCGTGTTCGGCCTCGTTTTGCTCATCATCTGGCTGGTCTCCCGGAATCGAACCATCGTTTGCCTAAGCTTTCTTAGGAGTAGGCACCTCACGCAAGGCAGAAAACATGACATAGGCCAGGCAACCCTTAGCAAATTGGGGGGTGGTTGCGGCGGCTCGGCAATCTCGTCATCGTCACCTGTCGCAATGATTGTTTTCACTCGGTCTTGCTTGGGTGATGGGCATATATTGGAAGACATGTAGATTGCGTGGATCAGCTACATAAACGTGCGCATATCCGGTCCGAAAACACTTCTCTCCGAGCTCCTGCCTGCAGCCACAGGAGCTGAGCAAAGCACACCGCCTTCGCCAATTGTCCATTGGCCTTCCGTTTTGCTCCATCTCTCTCTCTCTCTCTCTCGCATGAACCGAGCATCACAGTGGGACAGCTAGCACCCTGGGTTTTGCTTCGAAAGGACGTGCTCCGTCGGACTTCTGCCGGGAGTCACTACATGAAATATTTCAGTATTCAGGATCACGAACACACAAGAACCACAACAGCTACAGACCCGTCATGAAGCCGTTCTCAGTTCGTCGGAGAGCAAGTTCATTAGAATTTGTATCCCGGAATCACACTAAGCTGGGGCGACCTCAGATGATCTCGAATGTCCTCCTCGTACGGCATAAAGCACCGCTGCTTAATCCATAGTGTCCAAGCTAATGTCTGTAGTTTGGGGCCCCAGATCATCGAGACCATGGTCATAGGCAGCAGAACGCGAGTGAAGCAAATCGATGCGCTCGTGCACATCCATGAAAGACCCCACCAAGTCCTCCTCAAAGGACT